GGGGGGGTAATTGGGGTGGGCTGTTGCGCCGCGCTCGAAGCCATACCGCTGTTCGTGGCGGTAGCTTTGCATTGGGGCGGGTTAGGCTGCATAAAGCGGCTCACCCTTACTGCAGCAGGTGCGGCGTATGCCCGCTGCGCTGGCACCAAGCAGCGCGACAGCGTTGATGTGCCTAACTCATTTGTACACCTGCTGCACCACGCGCGCGCGCACACACACACACATACACACAAACACACACACACACACACATGCAATGACATACGCAACCACACACCCTCGCACGTACACCCTCAACCTGCAGAATCACGAACCCTCACACACACACCTGCAACCTCACTCTTGCACACCACCCACACTCTTCCACACACACAGGCCGTTGACGGTCAGCCTAGGCCTGAAGCATCACACCCTGGGGGGCGTCAAGCAGCTAGTGGGGGCCATCAAGGACGGCGGCCTGCTGCGGTGACGCCAGGCACAGGGGAACTTCTTTCCGCTCATCAGAGTGTGCGCTCCTTTGCTGCTGTGATCCACCTGGGAGGCCGCCAGGTGTTTTGTGTAGTTTGAGTACTGTTGGCGTGCATCCCGTACAACACGTACTGCAGTGTATAAAGATACCCGTCTGTCCTGAAATGCAGGCCTGGCTGCAAAATCGTTGGCACTTGGGGTCGGTAAGCTAATCCTCTGCTGGGGTGGTTTGAGGCTGCCAGCTCCATTCTCTCACATGTAACGTTACGCAGGGTGTGTTCCAGCAGTCAAAGATACTCGCGCGGTCAAAGGCAAAAGCAGTTCATGTTCAATCCCTCCCTGATATGTCAGGAGAAGGGCATTGATCTGCTGCAAGTGCAGTTTGCCGGCATCAAACGCGCAGGTGCCTGGACAATGGCGGCCAGAAGTTCAGCGGCCAATCAAAGGGCAGATCAGCAGGCACCTTTGCAGTCATAACGTTCTGAATGAAGTAGGGCTTGGCGCCCCCAAGAATCCACAAGGCCCCAAGTAAACATGCAGCAGCTCAAGCAGGGCTGGTGAACGGGGGGCAGAACCACCCCGCGGACGTGCAGCATATGGCATTCCCCACTTGCAGGGAGGGCAGGCCTGCAGCTGCATACCTGCTGACTGGGGACCCCTCCCAGCTGGCACCATCACATTTTGCGATCATGCAGGTTCCCTCCGGTGCCCTTTGTGTACAGTTCACCCCTGGCTCAGCAGCAGCCCCATGCCCCATGTTGTGTTCAGTTTGTGCTGTCTTGCCGGCTGTTTGTGCAAGCACACATTTATGGAGTCAGGCCACAGATGCGGCACAGCCATGCGCGCCACCACCTACCGCTCGCCCTGCTGCTGCTGGCGTCGGTGATGCGCCGCAAGCCATGGCTGCGTGAACACCCGGCCCAGTGCCTCCCCGTCCGCCGCTAGCGTTGACAGCCGCACCACCGCTGCGTCCAGCGACCCCAGGGCCGCCCCTACCACGGCCGGCAGCCGCGGGCACTGGCCGCACTCCGCCGCCGGCGCAGCAGCCAGCGCCGCCGCCGCCGCCGGGCGGCGCCGCCGCAGCACGTCCGCCAGCTGGCCGGCGGCGCCCTGTATGCTCTGCAGCCGCTGCAGGAGCGCGGCCTCGTCCTCGGCGCCTCGGGGGCCCCGGCCTGCGCCCGCGGCCCCGACGTCCCGGAACGTCCCGAGGGCTATGCCGATCCACCGCAGCAGCCCCGCGTCGATGCGGCCGCCGCGCACCTCCGCGTCCAGCGCCTCCCCCAGACCCGCCGCCGTGAGCCGCGCCGCAGCGGCGCTCCTAGCGTCCGCCAGGCCCGCCTCAGTCGCGCTGCCGCCGCTGCTGCCGCCGCTGCTGCCGTTTTGCTGCAGCAGCTCGTCCAGTGACAGGCGGAACCCAAAGCAGTCCAGCGGCCGCAGCGGCAAAGCAGCTGCGCGGCCATCAGCCCCCGCAGCCGCGCCGCCGCCCTCCTCCGTCGGAATGGGGTCACCGTTTTTGTCGTAAGCAACCGCTGGCACCGCCGTGGCTTCCGCTGCGGGCGCCTCTGGCTCCGCCGGCTCCACAGGCTCGCCGCGCTGGTCGTACAGCTGCAGCCCGCTGCCGCGGCCGCCACCCCCATCTCCGACGTCGGTAGCAGTGGCAGCGGTGGCGGCAGCGTCCTCCCCTGTCTCCTCCAGTGTGAGGCCGTACTCCAGCAGCCACCGCCAGTTGCAGTACGAGCTCTCCATCAGGCGGTAGTCGAACAGCAGCGCGTCACCCGGGGAGATGACGCGCGTGGCGGTGACGGTGAAGGCGGACGCAGTGCCGTCGACGCGGCAGTTGGCCTGACGCGGCGTGTAGCGGCCGCAGGGCGGCGAGGCCTGGTGAGCGCGAGAGGTGCAGCCCCATGCCACCAAGGGCTCGAGGCTGCGCCGCCTCGGCTTCCGGGCGCCCCGCTACCCTGCTCTAACCAGCGCATTGCGCGACACAGGCAGGCTGTCTTCAATGCCCATTAGGCTGAAGGGCCTCAGCCTAGCGATGCCCCGCCCTCGCCTCCGCCGAGCCCACCCCGCTGCACCCCCTGGCTCACCAGCTGCCCCGGGCCAGGGTGGTTCAGCAGGTCTACCAGGGGTACCATCACACCGACGTCCGGCATCCACCCCGGCAGCCGCACGCGCGCCGCGCCGCCGCTCCCCGCGCCGAACCGCGCCGCGGACGCCTCTGTCGCGTCGCGCGCCGAGAGCGCCAGCATGCGCGTGCCTGTCGCGGCGGCCGCCCACGTCATCGCCGACAGCAGCGCGCAGTCGCTCATGCGGCGGACCAACGCGCCGCCGGGCAGCGCCTGGAGCGCGGCGCGCACGGTTGGGAGCGCGCGCAGGAGTGCGTTGCGGCGGCCCTGCGCTGCGTCAGCCAGGCATGGCAACGCCTCCAGGAGCGCGGAGCAGCCCGGGGATCTAGGACGGGAGGGGGTGGAGTGAGGGTAGACAGAGTTATAAATGCAAATTTACCACCAATCTGCATTGACGTGCAACAGCCGCCCAGGCCTCCGCTCAGCTGCGCCGTCAGCATCCCTCAGCGCACGCACCGCCTCCGCATGCCCCTCTTGCCGGCCTGGCGCCCCCGCCCCCACACCCCCCCGTAAAGCAGCCCCTCACGTGTAGTTGAGGGGCGTGTCATACTCGCGCGGCAGCGTCTCCAAGAAGTTGCTCCAGGGGCTGGCCTCCCCCGCCACCAGCGCCTCGGCCAGCAGCACCAGCGCGTCCGCCACCACGACCACGTCCTCGTCGTCGCCGCCCAGGCCACGCAGCTGCTGCAGGCGCGGCGCGAGCGCCAGACTGTGTTTGGGTTGCCAGGGGTGCAGCAGGGTGGGGCGGCGGAGGAGGCATGCTGGCGCAGGGCCTCATCAAACGGCGTTTGCAGCATGCGCATGGGGTGCCGCTTGGCTAGGCTGCCCTGCAAACAGTGCCCCTCAACAATGGCCATGCACCCGGCAGGATCTAAACCTGTTCCTGTTGTGTTTCAGCTCACAAGCTCACCCGTGGGTGCAGGTAGTGATGGATAGGCAGAACGCAGTCGGGAGTGACAGCAGCACGTCACCAGCCACAGCAGCGCGCGTCGCCTGGTGACGCGCGCGGCACATCGAGGTGGCGGGAACAGGCTCATGGCGCAGGAGTGCCATAGAGCACCGGAGGATAGAAGGCAACATTCCAAAATCACTAATGAAAATTGCATGCCAACCTCATGCTTCAGGTCTGCTTCCTGTGCTGCCACTTGCGACCGCGAACCTGCTGCGCCCCTGCCGTTCCGGCCCCACCTCGAGGCCTCGCATCCCGCCAGACGTGCTAATGCGCATGGCGCTCGTGTTCACGCCACCGCCTTCAAGCCACTTGATCAGGCGAGGCACGGCATCATCCCTGCCCGTCAGCCGCGCCAGCCAGGGTGGCACCCATCCCGCTGCGTTGGGGCCACTGCTGCAATCGGGCACAACCATGCCAGCCACACTGCTGGTGCCCCTGGCTGGCCAGGTAGCAACCTGCCACCCAAGCACAGCAAAGACGATCGATGTGAGGACGAAGACATAGGAGTTCAAGTGTACAAAACTGTTGCGGGGCTCTTCACCCAGTGCTTCGTGCTTTGCACGGCTCGTGAGGGCCTTAAGCTTTGCCTTAGGCGCCATCACATTGATCTAAATGTAGGACACGAAGCTGGGACACACGTTACGTATGATATCAGATCGCGGGATCTCAGCGTGGGTGTGGGTACTAGCGTTTGAACGATACAGTATGCTGCCACACAAACTACGCAACTCGACGCCCATGATATTGTAGGCGCCTGAGTACGTCACCCGTCGTCGCGCTTGGTGCATGGTGCGTAACTGGCCGGCGCAAACAACATAGTAACATCTAATGTACCGGCAGTACAGCAGCTGCAACAGCAACTGCAACATAGGCATTCCTGATTCATTTGATATCAAACTCCTGCGCTTCATTTGCGAGTACTGCATGAATTTACAATGCAAGTATGACAGATTGGCAAACAGCAAGCAAGCAGGGGACCAGTCAGGTGCGTGGTCATCTCTACACACAGAGCAGGGAAGCATGGCGCCCGCACACAACCGCTACTTGGTGCATCCTCTTTGAGGCCACCGATGCGGCAATAATCTTTCGTTCGTTTGCACAATGAGATGGCGTGCACCATCATCGATGCAGCAAGCGTGAGGTGGGCGGGGAGTGTTAGGACAGGGCGAAATCCATGGCGCCTGGGGGGGGGGGAGAAAATAGGACGGCGCGAGCGCCTTGACTCATACCATCACTCATAGGATGCCTGCCATCATTTTCTGGGGTCATGCTCTCATGCATGACCTTTATGCATGCAGGGGTGGCCCTCTTTGCCAAATTTGCCCAAAACACAGGGGAGGCCAACCCACTGCCGAGCTGTTAACTTCGGAAGGTCCTGGACAGTGTTTGCACGCTTGCTATACTTCCGGTGTGTATAGGAAATGGGGCACTGGAATGAAATTGCAGCAAATGATCAGCCAAGGCCGCATTCCAAAAACCGAGGTTGGCACCATGGATCCCCACACATCGAGTTTGGAAGTGCCTTTGTGGCAGCCAGCATCAGCAGTCGCAGCTGCCCTTGTCCCCTGAGCAGGCAAGCTCCAAGACGACGTAAGACGGGCTGCCATCCTTGGCGGCCACCACTCCCGCCCCCACAGAGTCCATGCCGCACGCCTGGATTTCGAGGCATGGTGGCAAGTTGTTGGGTTTATGACGCCGGGGGGCTCGCCTGTTTGCATGATTCGCATGCAGTGCAGCATGCGGCAATCAAGCAAGCCTGTAGGGATGCGCACATGCATGCTGCATGTATTCATCCATGCATCCATGCACCCATGCATGGACGCATGCATCGTGCACATGGATGCGGGTGTCACCCCGGCTGCTGTTCGCACGTGATCACAGCCCTAGGGACCCCGGCAACGAAGCTTCACACACGGCCGCAGCACCTGTGCAAAGTGCCCGGCTCCCAGCATGCAGGCCCCGCTCACCATAAGCTGGTCCCTCTCCCCCTGACCGCACATCCAGTTGTAGACCACGTCCCGCACGCTTGTCCTGCCAGACGCCAGCACCTCCGCCACCTTTTTCACGGGGAAGCCTTCTGAAGTCACGCGCTGCAGGGGCGTGTTGCCGTTGGCACCAGAGCTGCTGGGGCCGCTGGCGGCGGCAGACAGAAAATCAGCGTGCTTCTGAGCCGCCGCGGTCAGGCGCGGGTCGACTGTGAGAGTGCCCGCGGGGCGCACCGATGCTGGCACCGAGCACGGCAGGCCGCTTGGTGAGGGTGAGCGCCGCACTGAAGTGGCACATTGCGCCACAAGAGCTGCGGTCAATTGGCCTTCCGGGCAATCAGAGCTGAGACCCGGAGCTGTGCCACTGCCTGATGCGGCACTGCCGGTCTTGCCGGCATTGCTTGTGCTGTCGGCTTCGCCACTTTTGTTGTTTGTGTCAGTGGCCCCGGGGCTGCTGAGCGTTGGGCTGCTTGTGCCTTTTTGCCAGCCACCAGCTACACCAAAGGATGCCGCCTGGCGCAATGTCCACGGGCAGGTGTGTGCGGACATGTTCAAGCTGGACGAACACTGAGTTGTATGAACGCATGCGTGTGCAGTGGTGACGAATCTTGCATGCAACCCCAATAATGTTGAACGAGCTGACGCCTTTCCAGGGTTGATGCAGGTTTTGCATGCCATGTGAGGCAGGGTTGCGAGCCGATCAAACCCAGCAAAACGCCCACCTCGACGCCGTCAATGTCAGCCGGACCGTTCATAGAGGCACGTGGGTCTTCGGCTGCACCGCTGCCGTTGGCACCGCTGGCCTCGCTTGACCTGGTGCTGGTGCCGCTGACCAGGCGTGCCGACAGGCGAACTTCCAGTAGCGACCGGCCGGAGGAGATCGCAGGCTCCACCGGCAGAGCGTGGGCACTGGCCATCGCCTTCATGTCGCCAGGCGGAGATGCTGAGGCATCAAGGTGCCATGCGCTGAGTGCCGCACCAGCAGCAGCAGCAGGAGTAGCGGAGGTCGCTGTCGGCCTGGTTCTCAGCGTTTTGTGTGGATGCCTCGCGTACACTGCGGTGAGCCGACCGGGTTGACAATGTGGGGGGTGAGTTGGGCCTCCAAGCTGCATCCCAATCCATTATGGTTGTGTATCCAAGGCACGGCGGCGGCCGCCTGCTACTGCCCAGTCAGCAACAAGGTCTGCAGCTTCCGGCAGCTCCAAGGTTGGCGCACGAACCTCCACTAGGCACGATCGCGGCCACCACCAGCAGCGGCACCAAGCACGCTGGAAGCACTTTGAAGGCCCGCATGGTCCTCCTTGAACGCGGAAAAGGGGATGCCAGGCGGGGCGCCCGTGCTTGATTTTCAGGCCTGGCAGCGCGAGGCGACAATGGTGACCAGCCGGTGCGGCGCAGCCTCCGCAGCTGTAATTTGAGGGCAGCACCTCTTTCAGTGCTGTGTGTGCTGGTGTAGCGCCTGTTTCAGCGCTACCTTTGATGTATAGCGTGAAAAACGCCGCTTGGCGCGGCGACTGTTGATGAATGATCTCTATGCCTGATAAATAGATTTGGGATGAGTCACACGATTGAATGTAAGCTCGTGGAGGGTGCAAGAGGCTCATTGGGATTGGCAACGAGATCGGCGCGCGTCAGCCGGAGTCTGCGCCTTGTTTTATCCCTGATCACGCTCTGTCAAATAATATAGTGTTGTATGACGCTTCATTGACAATTGCAGGCGCTGCGGCGACATTCGCTCGTGCATAGCATGTCGTAGGGATCTCGGGCGTGCTGCGTGTGCTCAGTTTATCCCATCACTTCAAGATCAATTCAAGCAGAAACAACATGCACCTTAACCTGTTTGGGCCCCATGCCCCTGCATGGCACCTCGGTGCTGTGCCTGGCGGAGCCCCAATTGCAGCCGCGGCGGCAGCAGGTGGCTGCTCTGAGTCTGAGGGCGCCGCCAGCATGTGTGATGGTGGTTGCTTAGGCGGTAGCCGGGTGGCTGCGCACCCACAGGGCGCTCTAGCTGGGTTCCAGGTGTCTAGCTCAGCTCATGGCGAGCCCTCAGAGGAGGAGGGGGACGGCGTTCAAAGCCCGCTCAAGCCATGGCCACCCGGCAGCGGCAGCATTGGAAGTGGCGGCGGCGGCGGCGGCGGCGGCGGCGGCGACGCAGCAGCAGCAGGATCAGCAGCAGCAAGCGGCTCTTTCGCTGCCGTGGCTGCGCTCCCTGCTGGCCTGCACACCTTGCTTGGCATCCATGCCCCAATGCTCAGCTCAGCTGGTGCTCCTGCTCCCGCGGCGCGAATTCCACCACGTTTGTTGATTGGGAAGCAGCAGCAGCAGCAGCAGCAGCAGCAGCAGCAGCAGCAGCAGCAGCAGCAGCAGCAGCAGCAGCAGCAGCAGCAGCAGCAGAATGAGCAGCAGCAGCAGCAGCAGCAGCAGCAGCAGCAGCAGCAGCAGCAGCAGCAGCAGCAGCAGCAGCAGCGGCTGCAGCACCAGGTGCTGCTTCAACAGCAGCAACAGCTGCAGCTTGAGCTTCAGCAGCAGCTTGAGCTTGAGCAGCTCCTTCAAAGGCGGCATCTTGCTGCGACTGCACAGCAGCAGCAGCAGCAGCAGCAGCAGCAGCAGCAGCAGCAGCAGCAGCAGCAGCAGCAGCAGCAGCAGCAGCAGCAGCAGCAGCAGCAGCAGCAGCAGCTGCAGGATGGTGAGCTGCAGCTTGACCCAGCGCAGCTGCTTGTTGGGGCAAGTGGTGCAGCTGAGCTGTATGCTGCCTCGCCTTGGGGGCCCACAGCGGCAGCGGCAGCGGCGGTAATGGCCGTCTGCGATGGCGCTGGGGCGCAGGGCCCACGCACCTCGCTGCAGCATGGTGCTGCGTCGCTGCTGACGGGCCGGGCTAGTGGGGGCGCAAGCAGCCTGCAGCAGATCATGGCCGCGGCGCTGCTGCCACCGCCTCCAATTGCCAACGCTGGCGCAGCTGCGTACCGCGCTGCCACGCCCTTCGCGGTACCTTCGCATCTGGCGCCGCTGCTGCCTCAAATGACAGTGAGGCCGCCGCCCCTCTCCATCGCCGCGGGGACGCCCTGGTCACAGCAGCAGCCTGGGCCCCGCACAGGCGCCTTTGTGGGCGGCAACGCAGGGCAACTGCTGCCGCCAACATTTGCTGGTATTGATGCAGTCTATGGCTGTAATTGGCTGGTGGACAGCACCCTCGGCGGTGGCCGGGGAAGCAGTGGCAGGGACGGTGGCGGCGTCTTCGGCGGCTGCAGTCTCAGCAATAGGTCCCAGCACCAGCAGCAGCCAACATTTCAGCAGCAGGCCCTTGCAGCCCTGGCCAACACGCAGTCTGATACAAGAGGAGCGCCTGGATAGGGCTCAGGGAGCAGCAATCCCCCTGCGGGTGGGGGCGCTGCTCTGTCGGCCCTGGCTGCTGGCGACCTGTCTACCAGCGGCGACCAGGGCAGCGCCGCTGCTCTTGACCCCACAAGGCGCGAGTGGCTGCTGGCCATCACCACCACGACGGGGTTCTTCAGTCCCTGCCAGCGTTGCGAAGCGGCGCGCAGGGGTGAGGGCGGGCGGCCGATGTTGAAGGGTCCACAGGTGGCCTAGGCGATGCTGACAGGGGCTTGAACCCTATTGTTCAAACACCAACATCGGTTAATCACCCAACTCTGCTTCATCAAATAATGGCAGGATCTGACCAACAAACCACCATTTCCCCCATGAAATGCAATCAGGTGTCAACCAAGCCACCTTCTTTGACGTCTCCGATCCGGCCGCCGGCCCCATATGCTCCGCCTGCGCCCAAGAGCCCCAGCGCAGCGACCACTATGTGCTGCAGGTGCAATAAGTTTGTGTGGTTGAAAACGGCAGCTTTAACGCAGGGTCGTGAGCCTCCGTTGCGGTCGTCACCGGAAGGAGCAACGAATTGCGCTGTGGCCTGTCCCCTTCGCTTGCCGCCTCATGCCCCCGAGGACATGTTGAGATCATCACCTGAGCCAACACCTGTCAGCACCTCAGAATAATCGCCCACTGGCAGTTTGACAAAAACACAAATCATCAAGCCGCATTTCACACCCCCTGCTATAGCACTTGTGCTTAAAACAACCCTTGCTCTGTTCTTCCCTCCCCAAAGGTGCGCCGCTCCACCTACCAAGACGTCCTGAGGCTGGACGCGGCGGCACATCTGATCGACGTCTCCGGTGGGCGCAGTAAGAGGCAAAATCTACAGGGGCGCATATATCATGTGTGAGCTTGGCCGCACCCTGCCTGGCCGCCGACCACTGCGTTCTGTCATCAGCCAGATGCCTGCAATGTCAGCTGGGCATTTGCCCTCCAACAATGACTGCTCGAGCGCCTTTCCCTGCTGCTGAACCCACCTCCAGGCGTGCAGCCCTACACGATCAACGGCCACCCCGTGATCTTCATAAGGCCCAGACCCCAGCAGCAGGCCAGGGAGACGGCAGCAACCAGCGGCTGGGGAGGCGCAAACGGCAGGGCAATGCCAGGGGGCCGCGTGGCCGCGCGATGCGTGGTGGACGGGCGTGTGCTGATGGGGGAGGACTCGCGGTACTGCTCCCTGAGGTGGGTGGGGCGAGAGCGTTGGTGTGAGGGTTGGTTTGGTGGTTGGGAGGAGGGGTGCTTGCCAGATTGGGGGGGGGGGGCTTAGATGGTTTTTAAGCAGACGGGGCTGGGCAGGGGATGCGCGGGTTGGGCAGTGCCAACTGAGCAAAGGGTGTTTTGCAGGTGGATGGGCAGCCTCGGGGCACCCGCGTGTGCATCGCAGCTCTGCCGCACGGTGTGCTGTTGCAGCTTTGCCTGCGGTGAGCGTGGCTCGCGCAGCGCAGCGCAGCGCCGCGCAGACCTCGCTGTGGCTCATATCGCGAGCTGCATTGCTGCAGAGAGGGCGCTTACTTGGCAACACCTCCACTTGCTGGCCGTTCCACCGCCAGGTGCAAGTTTGGGCACCTCGACCCCCAGTTTGCGGCCATGCTGCTGCAGGCCGACCAAGCCGAGGCGCAGCGCCCTGCTGGCGGCATTGGGCCCCAAGCCCACAGAACCAGTGGCGCCGGCAGCCGAGCGGTGGCAGCTGCAAGGCGCGAGGCGGCGTTGGCGGCAGGCAGGGGGGCACGCGGGGGTGATGAGGAGTGCGACGCTGACGTCGGCAAGAGCAGTGGCGCCAGGGGCATGAGGAGAGGTCGGGGCATAGGTGGAGGAGCGGGCAGCAGGGCCGGCAGCGAGGGGCGCGGCAGGGGCGTGAAACGCGGCGCAGCTGCAGCAGGCGCCACTGCACAGGCGACAGCGGCACTCGCCAAGCGGAGCAGACGAGAGCACGGCAGTGTGGACAACGCGTCAGCACAGCTCACAGCGGCAGGGACAGCCAAGGCGCAACACACATCTTCTGCAGTGGCTGCTGCCGCGGCGGCAAGTGTGACGAGCGCGGGTATCCTCAGCCCAAAGACAGCTGCGGCGCTGTCCAAGGGCCCGCTTTGGCCGCTGCCGTTGCTCCTGCCCGGCGGCGGGCTCTTGCCTTCCACAACACTGGCGGGCCAGCCACAGCCGCTACTCAATCATTTTCTGGATCCAAAGCCAGAAGCCACCAACAGCCAGCTGACGCACCCGGGGTTGGCCATGTTTTCGCCACCACCCGCAGCAAGGGGGCTGGGAGCGCCCACGTGGCTCCCGCACCAGATACACACGAACACACAGCTGCCGCCCCTGACCCTCCCAGCAGGCGTTGCAGATGGCGCCCATGCCGCCACTGGCAGCGGCTTTTTTGTGCCAAACCTGGTCGCGGGGGTCGAGGCACCAGTCCTGGCAGCAATGATGACACCAGCGCAGGTGCCGGTGCAGGCACCGCTGCTGCCGCCAGACACGATGGCGGCGCTGGCCGGAGCAGCGGCGGGCGGCGACGCGCAGTCCCTGGCTCTGTACACCCAGATGATGACTGGGGTGCACACGGGCTGCTGGCGCGCGCCTGCGGGGATCAATGCAAGCCTGACGACGGCCTTGTGTGGGGGTTGCGGGCACATGCAAGGCGAGGGAGGGGGCCCACAGGCCTCGGCCCCATCCGAGCCGGCCAGCAGCCTCGACACGCACAACCGCAGCAGCATCAGCCGGCGCAAGGCGGCCGCGCCGCACCGCGCGAGCTTCCTGTAATTGTTTTGCTCGTATGCAATGCTTCCTCATGCTTGGTGTGGCCGCCTCAACTTGGAATGCCGGGTGCATCAATGTGTGGGGGCTCAAGAGATTGACCAGTCCTCGAAAGTGATTGCAATCGTGCTCCAGGTATTCTATTGTTGTATTGGTATACACCATTGCAACCTGCTTGATGAAGGGAATGCCTTGCTTTGAGCCTACATGCAACATATTATTAGGCGGGATAAGGATGTTAGGGTGGCAGAGCAGAGTGCAGCACGTGCTCTTTGTATGGGAACATTCTTAGTGATGTCAGTATGACCTCCAAGAGGCTTCGTGCCATCAGTAAATATCACTTGGATCTGACTTGCGTGTGCCAAACAAGGGTGAATGGTGAAGTCCCACGTTACCGGGGAGTTGCGCAGATGCCAGTGCACGATGCACCCAAGCAAATACAACCGTGCACCCACCTTCTATCCAACATGAGATCTTGCAGGTCACATTATTGACTTCAAGAAGGTGCCGTGGATGCTTCAGGGTAACAAGGTCAAGGGCCACCACTCCGCTTTGATTGCGGCCTGCTGTTGACTCGCGGACAAGCCGTTTGTCAACCAGTCAAGTCAACCGGCTCACAAGTGGGACTTTCACTGTGATCATGTGAGGTCCTCTCCTCCTGCCGTGAGTTCTGCTTTTTATGCCGTTCGGCACATTTATATCCAGCAGCTGGGTTCTGTTGACCCATTCTGCTGTACTCATGCAGCGCCGCTGCATACGCAGCAAAATCGCCCAGTGGGTGACTCCGCCCGCCGCAACCAGCACGAGCAGCGAGAGGGCCGCGCCCAACAGCAAAACGAGGAGTCAGAAAATAAGAACCTTTGTGAGCGATATTGAATCATGCATCATTAGCTGCGGTCCACCATTGCTGCTGCACGCTGCACGATTTGCAGACTGCAGATCACGGATCACAGGCCCCTTCGCGATCGAGATCCACGCAGTGATATCATAATGCAGCAGCAGATCCGTGCCAGCGGCCCAGCGGGAGGCATCGCCTCGCACGCTCAGTACCGGTGTCGCCGTCCAGTTGTGTCGACCAGGGCTGCGGTGGCAGGCGGCAAGGTGTACATTGATCCAGTCAAGAAGGAGTGCACCGCGTTTGCTCCCGCGACGGTGGCAAACCTGGGACCTGGCTTCGACTGGCTTGGCTGCGCCGTGGAGGTGCGTATGAGGCTTGCATGGGCCCTCAGGAGGCGGTTCCTGTTCCGGAAGTAACAATTGATGTTGCCATTCATCACAGGGCGAGGGGGACACCGTGACCGCCCGAGTGCTGCCAGACCAGCCTGGCAAGGTGGTGATCGACAAGATCGAGGGCGACAACGGCAGGCTGAGCCTCAATGCAGCAGACAACTGCATAGGTATCGCTGCCATAGAGACCCTCAAGCTCATAGGGCAGCCCTCCTGTGGCGTTGCGCTGACGCTCCACAAGGTGCGCTTTGACCGCTTGCTTCTAGTGCCTCTGCTCAACTCGTTGTGCTGGTCAACTGTGCTTGCTGTTGACTGCGTGCTCTGAACCCTGGTAACATGGTGCTGCCTGAACCCTGGCACCATGTTGGAGAGACGGCATGTGGGCAATCAAAAGCGAAAAGATGTGAGCTTGGGCCTGGCATGTGTACGTCCCATGCAGGGCCTGCCCCTCGGCAGTGGCATGGGGTCCAGCGCGGCGAGCGCAGCGGCGGCGGCCTGGGCAGTCAACGGACTGTTCGGCAGCCCTGTGTCAAAGGACGAGCTGGTGCTGGCGGGGCTGGCCAGTGAGGCGGCTGTCAGTGGCTACCACGCCGACAACGTGGGGCCTTCGCTGCTGGGAGGGTTCGTGCTCGTCAGGTGGGCGTGACTGCATTTCGTACGACCAACATCGGCCACCAGTGCCTGCAATAAAGGAGGGGCAGGGCTTGTAGGCAGGGGTTTAGACTGCCGATCATACCCCCAACCCCGACACAGCAGCGGGGTGCAGGCGCAGCCATGGACGAGCAGAGGGAGCCGGCTTGACCCGCCGTCACCTTGAGCTTCAGTTGCAATGCTTACAAGTCTGCCCACATTCCGTCCCCCCTCACGCCCTGGCCGGCCCCAGGAGCTGCGACCCCCTGGAGCTGGTGCGGCTGCCGTTTGGTGGGTCGGACCCGCTCTACTTTGTGCTGGTCAACCCGCTGTTCGAGGCGCCCACCAAGCAGATGCGCGCTGTGCTGCCGCGGGACGTGCCCTTCAAGAGCATGATCCACAACAGCACCCAAGGCGGCGCGCTGGTGGCTGCCATCCTGCAGGGTGAGGGCAGGGCACTTGCAAGTGGGAGGGCAGTGGGTCGGCTAATAGCGGTGGCAGTGGCGTCTGCTGGCGCCAGCTGCCATGGGGAGTCGGGGTTGACAAGTATGCAATGCGTCATCTTTGGTGTGTTCATGTGTATGCCCGTTGCGCAACCTCGGCGGTAGCCACCAAACCCTCCACGGCTGCTCCTCCTCGTGTGTTGCTGCAGGAAATGCGCGCTTGCTGGGCAGCGCCCTGGACAGCGATTGCATCGTAGAGCCGGTGCGTGCGCCGCTGATTCCTGGCATGATCGCGGTCAAGGCCGCAGCCAAGGAGGCCGGTGCATACGGCTGCACGATCAGCGGTGCTGGCCCGACGGCTGTGGCAGTGGTGTCTGACGCAGGGGTGGGGGCACGCGTGGCAGATGCGATGGCGGCGGCATTCAGGAGCGAAGGCAAGCTGGAGATCAACAGCAAGGTGGTGGTGCGGCTGGATCCTGAGGGCGCCAAATTTGTGTAGTTCTGCAGCCTTTCTCTTGGTCGCGGCTGCATTTTGTGCCTGCAGCAGCGCCTTGTTTTCCTGCGCTGGTCCTGGCTGACAAACATTCAACCCACTCACATCATGCTCCTGCTTGCATGTGTTGTACAGAGATTGCACGAAGATTTGCAATTCATATCTCCAAGTAATAATTTTTGCAGGCTTCGTGTTGCAGGCTTTGTGTGGAAGGATTGTTTCTTGTGGTGGCTGGATGTTGGATAGCAGCGACGGTCAGCAACGCCCAGGCCAAATATCACCGCAAAGGCCGACACAGCCAGCACCGCGCTGCTTGGCTGCAGAGCTACACAAAGAGAAAGAACAACACAGCCATGAAAATTCTGTGGTGCCGCTGCAACACGAATCCCACAGCTGTGTGCTTAGGCAGGCTTGCAGCAATTGGGGTGAGTGCAGCAACGCCCCAACGCCTTTCTTGCCTGGATGCTGCTCAACATGTTTGACCACACACACTGATGGCTGTTCCCCTCCCATGGTTGGCTTCTAATCATTTCACATTACGTTCTTTGATACATATGTTTTGCACTTGCATACGATTTCTGCGCCAAGTTTCTGGTGCTGCATCGCAGCGGTTTCTGCGAGGCCTCCTTTGAGGTGTCATAGATCGAGACGGTAGTATATAGCCTGCTTGTTAGTGCGTGGCATCTACGGACGCGTAACACGGGTGCTGAGGGGGCCCGTGTCCTTGCCATCTGCTTGTCGTGCCATCTACCCCGGCGCAAAGATGGCCCAGCACGACGTGGCTGGGGCGCTATACACGAGTTTACATCGGCACATCAAGATTGAAGGCAGGCAGGAGCCCAAGCGGGACATGGAAGGCACAGGCTCGGTGAGCGCGCCGGTCGCTGCGCAGCGTGTGCACTGTACTGCGCATCCACCAGGCCCTTGTGATATGCTCTTGCAATGGTGTCTTTGTTTTGGTCTCGACAGGTCTGCCGGCGCTTCGATACGCATTGCAAGGAGTGCAGCGGTGTCGCCACCGTTCTTGATGTCACCTGGACAATATTTTGGCCCACCTCGTCGACTATGCCCTGTCCTTGCACCCGCCTGATCAACACCAGTGCTTCGACATCACCGACCTGTCTGAGACGAGGCCGGGTGCTCACAAGCCGCTCAACGTGACGCCTAAGGAGCTGCCACGCTGGTCAAAAGCGATGACACAATACAAGTGAGCGGCGCGCAGGGAGACGGGCGACAGCGCACCTATTCGCAGATGATAAGCCTCTGGGGAAAAGCAGACTTGCAGCGATGTCCTATCTACAGCTGCATTAGTGACGGGACGTTTCGCAGCAGCAAATCAAACAGTTGCTGCCACAGCAACACATACACTCAGGCGGCCGCCCTCCACGCCCCCCCATAAATACACACACTGTCGCGCACCGCGGCCAGGTACCCCTCCCCCAAGCCCGACCCCCACGGCTACCTGCGCAAGGGCGAGGGCGACTTCATCAAGGCTCGCGGCCCGGCGCCCACCGAGACGCCCTCGCCACCGCGCGCGGGCGCCACCACGCTGCGCGACAACCCGCCCAACACCGCGTTCCGCCGCTTCTACGAGCGCGGAGACCTGCCCATCAGCGTCGATCACAAGAGCTTCAAGAACGCCATCAAGTGGAAGGTGCATGCCTGGGGTACGGCTCGGGGCGATAGCACTGCTGGGGCTTGGGGCTGCCTGCAGGCTTCAAAATTGCAATGCACCAGTGGTGAAGGTAGTGCCATGAAGTCGTGCGAGCCTGTATCAACCATCAATGCTGCCCGATGCGCCCCCCCCGCCCCCCCCCCCCGACCCGGCCGCCAGGTCGAGCTGGACAAGCTGGACTACCACCACTATCTGCCTATCTTCTTTGACGGCATTCGGGAAAAGCAGGTGAACACAGGAGTGTGCATGCTGTGCTGTCGCCAGCCTGTGCTGAGCAGGTTGTCTGTCAACAGGCGCCGCAGACGCCGCCATCTGTTCACGTGCCAGGTTGGTTCTGGCCCAGTTCTGAGCTGACCCACCGACTGGTCCGCGCCCGCACACCGCGCTCCTCACCAACCCCAGGACCCGTACCGCTTCCTGGCGGTGAAGGGCGTGGAGGACCTGCTGGCGGCCGGCGGGGCGCGTGTGCTGCCTGTTATCCCTCAGCTGATCATCCCCCTGAAGACCGCGCTCAACACGCGCGACCCCGCGGTGATGTGCATCACGCTGCAGCTGCTGCAGAAGCTGGTGGCCTGCAGCGACCTGGTGGGGGAGGCGCTGGTGCCATACTACCGCCAGCTGCTGCCTGTGCTCAACATCTACATCAACAGGTGTGCGGCTAGTGAGGGTGTGGATGGTTGCCTGGTGGGGCAGGTGCATTGTGTGTGCAGTGCGCACACCCGTGAGATTGGGTGTCGCATTGCCCTGCCAGCAGACCGTGGCATTAATGATGAGTGATGCACGTTCATCAATTTAAACCAGATCAATATGTGGTAATTCCAATTCACGCTCTGCACCAGGAACAAGAACATGGGTGACAGCATCGACTACGGACAGCAGCACTATGAGTGCCTGGGGGAGCTGATCAGCGACACGCTGCAGCTGCTGGAGCAGCGCGGGGGCGAAGATGCCTTCATCAACATCAAGTGTGAGTGTTTGGCAGGATGTTGTGTATCATGCAGCTGCTCGCTGCTTTGCCGATGACTTCTGCAAAGCGCTGGGATGCAGTTTCGTGCAGGGCTGTGCAGCCGTTGCGCTCGTCCGAACCCTCACTCCCTGCCCTCGCGCAGACCTCATCCCCACTTACGAGTCCTCTGTTTCGGCCTGACAAGTACGCTGCGATCAAAACGTGAATGCACCGGAACAGTCAAATCGCTGTGCTGGCTGATGTGTGTAGACTCTGGGATGGTCCACCTCCTTCTTTGCCCATGTTGGTCAAACTTTGTCCGCCTGCGCTGAAAAATGCGCGCCAGCCGCAAGGCGTGGGCCGGTGTGTTGTCCTGAATGCCATGTAATTGCATTTTCTTGCTCCAGAGGCACAGCGCCTCAAGTGAGACCCATGAGCCCAAGCACACTCGTGGGCTGTGCTGCGAGCGTCACCGGCGCACTCTGTTGTGAAGCAGGCTTTGCCTGCATTACTCGCCGTGCTGGACGCTTGCAGAAAATTGCCTTGTTAGACGTGCGCGGCTGCCTCCCCACATATAGCCACTGGCAGCGATCCAGCAGTGCTTCTGTCATTCATGGCGCACGCGGCCATGATCCTCCGGGTCTGCCCTTAAGATCAGCTAAGGGACAGCAATTATGGCGATTATGGCTGGGCGGATGGCGCTGGTGAGCAGCGGGGCTCGCGCTTGAACTGCTTACCACGCAGCCCATCAACATTGCTCCTCCTTTACCGCACCGCAGGCCTGCAACGCCGAATATCTACCTGTGACGGCTGATCGGAACAGGATCATGCGGGATCGAGGCAGCAAAGGCACGCGGGAGGGCGTAAGAGGCACTGCGAAGCATGTGCATGCCCTCTGCGCGGGCCTGCGAATTCAAATGCCTCAAATCGCCACATGCAGGTGTTTTTGACTACCATGACGGCACGTGCAAGGTGCTCCAGGTGCGTACAGCTCCGATCGGCGTGACAGGCAATTGAATGCAGCGCTGCGCCCACTGGCACTCAACACGCACTGCGATTGACGACTCGCCTACGCCCTGCAGGAGCTGCTCGGCAGGGCTGAAGCCATACTGCCCATGGTGTATTATCACGGCGTGGACACAGCCTCGCAGCAGCAGGGCTCTGAGGGCGGCGAGCGTGCGCAGCAGCCCCATCAGCACAAGGAGGCCGCGGCGGCGCCCATAATCCTGGTCGGCTTGGCGCGGCTGGCCGCTGATGCGATCAGCGCACTGGCGCAGGTGCTGGAGGCGGCAGGCAATGGTAGCCTACCTCTACTCCTGTCGTCCACAGTCCATGCCAGGTGCAGCATGCAGGTCCTGGGCTGTGCTGTATGCATGAGCGATCCGGATGGTGACATGCCATGCAGCAGCAAGTTGCACCGGCTGGCTTCGTGGCCCCATCAGGTCATTGCCTAGTTTCTGTCCCATGGCCAACAGCTACGGGCACTCCATGGCATGCAGCAGCCATTGCCCTACTAATTTCCCTTGCAACTCGCCTCCCCTTGAATTCGTCCATCCAATAATCTAGCCTCTTTGTTGAGGTGGTGGACCGCTTGGTGCTGCTGGACGGCGCCAAAGACACCGCCTTTGATTCCATGGTGCAAGAGGCCAGCTCTGTGCTGCATCAGCAGCAGGCCGTCTTCCAGGAGCATGGCAAGGAGGATGAGCGGCAGGAGGGCAGTGAGGACGCGATGCAGCAGTGCCATCTTCGGGAGGAGCTCGTTGCGGCACAGGTAGGAGGGGGGCGCTGGTGGATGACGCAAGCGAGAAGGAAAGGGCGAGCAGCTGCAATCACCTTCTTGCCTTTAAACACTTTGTACACAACTTATGCGGCACACGGTGCTGAACAGACATCCCTGCATCGCTGCAACGCCGCTCCTTTGCCCAGTCTTTTCTGGCTTTGCCAGGCGCCATCACCAACGCTGTGCGTGAGAACCTCTCAGCTGTGCTTGGTGGTCATGTGCCCTTGGCGCGGCTGGTGCAGCATGCGCTGGCGTTTGCGTCTTGCGGGGCCTCGTCTCCATCTGCCTCAATGGTGGCGGCGTCGGCGCCGAGCGCAGCCCAGAGCGCAGCTGCACCTTTCCAGGGGGCGGGTTTAGCAACGAGTCAGGAAGTTCACGCGCACGCACGCGCCCTGCCGCTGCTGCTCGGCTGCTACCTTGAGAGCGTGGGCCGCCTGCAGGTGCGCAGGGGCAGGGGAGTGGGACATGACTCCGGACAGTCTTCAGCTGGTTACTGCCCAATTGTTTGAGACATCTGCCTTCCGTGTACGCACATGTGCATGCACCCGCGCGTGCACACGCACGCACAGACGCACGCACACACGCACGCACGCGTGTGCACACACACACACGCACGCGCGCGCACAC